ACAAAAAAACAAAAAACAAAACAAAACAAAAAAAAAAAACAAAAATTTTGTATTTGTGTGCTTCGTATATTTGTGTGTTTCGTATTACATGTTGCATATAAAAATATTATATTATTAAGTAATGATTAGGGTAAGTTTTTATGACATTAGTGATTTTAGTAATAAATATTTTTTGAGTACTATTAATTCTGTTACAATGTACTACTATCTGTTCATATCTATTTTCTCAATCTATTGAAGCACAAATAGTCAATACCGTCCTCACTCGAACTCATGACCTCACAAATTAAAGAGTCAATACCGCCCTCACTAGACCACAAAGTTATTGGCATGGTAATAAATATTTATTATAAGAATGATTAGGATTATTATTTATTGCAATAAATAATAAGTAAAAAGAATTAAAATGTTGATAAATACTATTATGTATTACAAATAATGATTAATATAAAACGTTGTGTACATCATGGATTCATGGAGGATGTGCGCTTACCCTTAGGCGTGTTTAGTTCATTTAAAAAAAAAAAAATCAAAATTTGTGTATTCTAATTTATATTTGTAGAAGTTTAGACCATGCACATAAGAGGAGAATGTTAGGAGAATACATTACTTTCAAAGGAATTTAATACCTACATGGATTAGAGATAAACAAAAAATAAATAAATAAATAAATAAAAATTAAAAAAAAAAATGAGAGAGAGAGAGAGAGAGAAAAAAAATGGGATAGCAACTGCAAGGACTCGATTAATGGCAGGATGGTGGGACCCAGCTAGAAAAACAACCAAACGTGACAGCCTTGTGTAGCTTGTCACAAGTGCATCCAGCGGGCGCATGCAGTGCACGCGCCCGCTGGGCGCCGACCATGATTATATATTATTTTTTTAAAATTTTGAAATCAATTTTTGTTTTTTTTTTCTCTCTCCTTCCACATTTTCTTTCCTAATCACTCTTACAATAACTCTTTAATATCCCCAACTGATATTCATGCTCTTATACGAATATAAAAATATGATGATTGTAGTAATGATTATAATAATTATTTATAGTTAATGATTAGGTTTCTAATTTGTAGAACTATATATTATTATAAAAATATATGTCATTATTAAGTAATGATTTGAATAATTAACTCTCTGATTGCCGTTATCCGCTCTGTCACCATCTAATGTTACAGGAAAAAAAACGCACGTTCAGGGTACCACAAATATTTTCAAAAGAAGCAAAGATTGATATGTCGCTCATGTGCTAGCACGGGTAACAGGTTCTTCATCTGTCCTAGGATCGTGGTTCACTGTGCCACCTTCCTATATTTCTCATTTGGTTGAAGTTTAATGAAATATGTTCTTTCCTTTCAAAAAAAATGTTTATGACTGAGTTAATTTCCAAAATAATCCTCCGACTATGACCTATTCTCAAATTGGTCCCTTGACTTCTAATTTCCTCAAGTGGTCCTTCGATGTTTGAAATTTAAGTCAAAATGGTCCTCTGTTAGTTTTAGTGTTAAGTTGGTGTTAAAATGAAGGGTAAAACTGGAAATTTAAGTTTTGCATTCCTATTTAAAGCAATGTGATTCTTTTCAAACAGTCTGCGCACATATTTCTTCAAATTAGGTTTTTGCTTTCCTAAATCTGCAATCAAAATGTGGGATAATCAACTAGAAGGCCAAAAAAGTGCATGATGTCCTTGCCTAAATCTGCAATCAAAAAGCTCATAAGTCTTCAAGTAAAGATCCTTACTATGCACACCTCCTATTTCACAACTCAAAGAAACTAGCATCTTGTTTATGTCTTCGTGCTCAAATTCTTCTCTCCTTAAACTTTGATCCTTCCATAGAAAAAACTTGCAACTATTTCCATCCTGGACATGTAAAAGTGAAACATTCTAAAAAAAAAAAAAAAGAGTGAAACAAAACTACAAATACATAAAACTTTAAACAAAAAAGTGACTTGCGATTAAAACTGGAAAAATAAAAAACAAAAAAATTTCAGATTATTCTGTAAAATTACGGAAAAATTAGGGAAACAAAACTGCAAAATAAACTATTAAAATTGGAAAAATAAGAAACAAAAAAAAAAAATTACAGACAATAACCGTAAAATTACGGGAAAATTAGGAAAAAATTATGAAAGAAATGAAAAAAATGAAGAAAATTGAAATATAAATTCACACAATGTCTACCTTTCATCTTTGACACCTGAAAATTTTTGTGTTCGAGTCTCTAGTTGTGCAAATAGGAACTTTCAAACAACTATTACAAAATATACTAGGCTCGTACTTCATATTTGCTCTCACTCGTGATGAATTCGAAAAAGATAACATCACCAACATTCTTATATGTTGATGAAACTATCTAGTCTACTAGATATGCTTGCACGGCAATAAGAAGGGCAGAAGAAGTGGTATGACTCAATAATTTAGAATTTTGGTTATCTAATAAACCTAATTTGGGGGAACTGATTAAGAAATAAGGCCACATAAGCAAAAAATCGATGCCATATCATCAGGAATATTGATTTATGTATCAAAATATACGTTATAAAAGGTCAAGACAGTGTCGGCCCTGGCCATATTTAGCCAGGGCCTGCGCACAGAGCCCCCAAATTTTGGTGCCCCCAAATATTATGAAGTATATATATGTACACACATTTACATAGTGTGGTGGCTGGCCCAATTTTTTGGGGCACTTTTATGAAAAAAAAAAATATTATTATATATTTATGTTTTATATATTAGTGTTTGTGTAACTTATGTATAAAGAAATCAAGACAGTCTAAAATTCTACAAAGTTTACATTCTTAATTCCTAAGAACTTGATTTACGTATAGAGTTATAGTCAACTTATAGGAATTGAGGTGGACCTATTTGACTATTGTAAAATTATTATATATATAAAGAGTAAAAACTTACTCTTATTTCTAAATTTGTATTCACAATGCAGAAATTCGGTCTCAGTAATTATTAATTTGAAGTGCATTGTTTGTGCATTTGACATCCTCAATTTTTTTATCCTTCATGATAAAACGATGAAAATATGTAAGTTAAATATTTTAATTCTTTAAATTTATTCAAAATTTGGAATTTTTTTGATAGGTGAATAAAAATCTAATTTTTTGTATTTTGATGCTACAATTGCAATATCAAATAGTCTTGACTATTTCCATTACTGTTGTATATGCATAAAGAACTTTTTAAAGTTGAAGTTGTTGAAATCTTACTTATGATCAAGTATATTGTAAGAAAAGACTCAATGGATTGGTGAATGATTTTACATCCCTGAAGAAAAAGAAGAATGTCACTTTTTAAGTGAAAATTTGAATGATAAATTTTCTATAGACTATTATATATTTTGGTATAATATAATATATCTTCATTTGATTATAGTATATTTTTGTTACTTAAAATAATATCAATTAGTCATGTTCTTCCTTCTATTTTTTGTTTAGACCTTTTCCTAATATAATTTTTAAGTAATCAATTTCAACACTAATATACAAATCTTATAATTTCAAATAAATATACACTTTCTAATATTAGAATTATTTATAATTTTATCATTAATTTTATTATTTAAATATATAATAAAAAAAATTTATCCATGCATCGCACGGCTAATTTACTAGTTTACAATTATACAAAAAGGGGTCTTCTCAAGCCACCTTATTAAACCCCTTGACAACCAAGCGCGCCTTATGGCGCTCAGCTGACCCATCGACCTTGCGCTTGGTACGAAACACCAACTTACAACCAATAATGTTCATACCAGACTGAGCAGGCACCAACTTCCACGTGTCATTGTTCAATAAAGTATTGAACTCTTGATCCATGGCCTCACGTCACTCTGGATGACGGGCTGCCTGAGAATAACATGTTGGATCCACCAATCCAGTAGAAGCCACTAAAGCCTGTAACTGTGAAGGATCACCATGAGTCATATGACGCAGCATCTTAGGATGTGAGCGCTGCAAGGGCATCGTGCGTGTCCTATTCCTCCGAGGAGACGAAGCAGGAACAACCGGAGCAGGACTCAACACGGAACCGACATGAAGACCATCAGAAGAACCAACCTCACCAGCTGGAGCCACAGGACCAGCACCCCAAGGCATCACACCATCACCAAGACCCTCACTTAATACCTGCACAGAAGGGACTGAATCAAAGGAAAAAACACCCGCATCAAAACGCACATGACGACACATATAGATTTTACCAGTATTCAGGTCATACAACGATACCGTTAGACACAGCATAACCAAGAAACACACACGAAGCTGACCGAAACTCCATCTTGTGCTTATTATATGGACGCAAATAAGGAAAGTAAAGACAACCAAAAGCAAGAAAGAAAGAATAAGTAAGAACAGACTGAAAAATCCTCGATGCGGACTATCAAATTTCAACACAGAAGGCAGCAAACGATTAATTAGATAGACAGTCGAAATCCCAATACTTATAGGGAACAAAGCTATTAGCCAGTAGAGTGAGGTCAGTCTCAACAATGTGACGATGACAATGCTCCACACAGCCAATCTGCTACACCTATGAACGAACGATACCCAGAGACTGGAAAACAAAGTGCAATTTTTTATGTTTACCCCCTAAATCCGATTGAATAAACTTAATAGAACAAGAAAATAAGCGTTCAACCATAGAACGAGACTACTCAAACACTTTCTATATATCATATTTCAAGCGTAAAGGAAATAGCCAAGAATAACGCGTATGCTCATCAACAAATAACACGAAATAATGATTCCCATTCAAAGACATAACAGGGGTAAAACCCCAAATATCTGTGTAAACAAGATCAAGTACATGTCTACTACTAGAATCAACCCTATCTAAAGAAAATCTCGAAGACTTTCTCATTTGACAAACAGAACACAACGATGACGAACTAACATTTATTGAACTAACGGAACAATTTTGTATAACACGACTCAGAACTTTATAATGAGGATGACCTAACCGATGATGCCACACAACAGATGAGGCACGAGCAGACAGGTACGCAATAGGAGAGCGTGGAATCGACAGCGAGTACAACCCAATAGAACTTGGACCTCTAAGCAGTACCGCATTGGTAACGCGATCCTTCACAACAAAGAAAGAAGGATAAATTCGAAAAAAGACATCGTTATCCGACGGAGAGCTATCACCTTGCATCGGATAACGATGTCTTTTTCGTCTGGCTCATACCTGCGTCGAGGAACCGAACGCCGCCTCCACCGCCTGTCAGACTTGCCGGGAAGCCGGACGCCCAATCGCCAGACACATCACCTCATCCGAGAGGGAGGAGATGAGCATTAAGAGGATCACCTAATCCTGTTGCACCCACGCAACATACGCAAGATTCGCCAGAGCTGCAGCCGCACCACCATCATTCGCCAAGGTCGCCGGCAGACAGGGCAGAGAGCCGTCAACGAAACACAAGAGGTTCTGCCCTCTAAGAAAAGGAATCAGATGTGTGATCCAAAAGAGGTAGTTCCGACAGGTAAGTTTGATGGACACGAAATAGTGCGCAGAGGATAGCGAGTTGGAGGCCATCGTCAGTGGAGAGGAGACTGTCATTACCGTACGTTCAGAAGAAGCGGTACTGTGAGTGGCCATTACAGAGAAAGGATCGACTAACCTACGGATACCAGATGAGAGTATAGAAGTGTGTATTGTGTATTTAATCAGATTACAAAGAATATGGCCCTGTTTGGTAAAATGGCTGCTAGCTGATAGCTGATTGTGTTAATTAGAGGGTATAAATAGTTGATAACATTAGCTGATTGTAGAAAAGTGTTTGGTAAATTAGCTGTTAGTTGATAGTTGTTTGGTATAATTTCTTTTCTCAAAAAGCTAATTGAAAAAGTTGCTTAGAGTAGCTTTTTCAATTTTAGCCTTTTGGAGTTGCAAAAAGCTAATTAACCAAACATTTATATTGATATTTTAACTAAATCAAACAATTAAACAATTAATAGTGGTCAAATAAATCAAAATTGGCCTATAGGCCAATTTTTTATCAAACAGGGCCCATATGTAAATACAAACGACAACAAGAGATCTAACAAAAGTATAACACCTAGAGTCCTAATAACTTTGATCCTAAAAAATGTATTTTGATACATTCTTCCACAAGAATGAGCATCCGTTCAATCAATTAAGGAGCAATACAGTGAATGTAAATGGGACTTGTAGGAAGTGCGATTCCAATAGACATAAATCAAGACCAAAATACTCCCATAAATATTAAATTGCATCAAGAACATGATGGATGTATAAACTATAATGCCGGTCCCATGTAACGGTTGACATTTCAACTCCCAAAACATAAACTCTACAAAAAACAACTGCAAAGGCATTCGAGTAATCGTATTAACTTTTCTTACTTACAGAACTACTATGTACAAAAATGTGAAACATTCAAAAGCAGTGTTACCTCATTAATGCCAATATACATACTATGTATAGAATAGGGAACCATAAGTTGGCTTCCAAGGGGTCCAAAATTGCAAAAATATAAGAAGCTGCAATGATACATACATGCATCTCACTGCATTCAAGCATCCCCACAAAATCAAACAACCTGAAAGGATACTTGTCTTCTCCTGGCAGCATTATCAACCTGTCATGTATGATACACAGCCAATGAGATTCAGTAGCAACCAACCCGTAGATAAAAAGTTTGATTTAAACTCAAATTCCTTGAGTATGTTAATTAAGATGAAAGCCCACCGAGAGGAGGAAAAGACTTGTGAGCATACATATGTGTATAATTATTCCCTCTAGTAGTGCTTTACAAACAAAATACCTAGATCTGAGGAGAAATCAACATTCCTCAGCACTGGACTTAGGAGGAGGCAGCAAAACCTTCACTTCCTTGGTGTCCAATCCTGCAATCGACGATGTATCCTCATCCTTTGAAGTCAGAGTTCCTGGCTTCATATGCTGCACCTCCTCTTTTGTGTAGAGGTGAATTTTATGAACCATAGCACAAAATTCTCTGTTTTTGGTGAAAGGGGAGGCAACATTAAGTAGATGACACAAAATATGCTATTCAAATTACAATGTAGATAATCTTTCTTTATATATTTAGTCAAGATATGAGAATGTCCTTACTGCCACGGATCATCTCCGACAAGCATCATGTCACCCTCACCATCAGTATACACAACCATCCAATTGCTGTTCCGTGCCTTAAGTTCACCATTAAAATCAAACAGATTGTCCAGTTCAGCAATCAATTCATCATAGTTGTTGTACTTGGCAAGATATACGGACCTACCAAGGGCAGTGCCCTGTTTATGAACCTGAATATAAAGATGCATGTGCAAAAGCAAAGTCATGCACAAGCGGTCCATAAAAGAAACACGAAAAAAAAAAAAAAACTTTTAAAAAATATTTTTTTAGAACCTTGGTGCAACTCCTTGTTGAACCACTGCAGACCTTGCCCACCCTTCCTCTACCACCAACATGAAAGGTTTGAAGTTCTTTTTCCTTCTCATTGCCTGTAACTCCATTTATCACTTTAGAGTCCTTTGGTTGCTCAGACCTTTGTTCAGATTCAATTGCAGGTGACTGATGAGAGGATATACCCAAATCGCTATGGACTATTGACTCAGTCATTGCATTTTCACTTAACATAGGAGGACCCATTGAAGAAGAATTACTAATCAGAGGTATGCCAAATAGTTTGCAGTTCCCCTTTTTTGGTTCAAATGCCTCGTGCTGTTGTACTGATACTGGTTTTGGCATCAGTTCTCTAGAATGAGCAGGTATTTGCAGATAAGAAGTTGGAGGCATAAACCAGTTCCCCTGCTGACTGTCAAGTCTATGACCAGGTAGCATTGAATACTCACTTAAGCCACCACACCTAGAGTCTCCTGGTGCCTGATAAGGTGTATCAGAACCCTGTCCATGAGGTTTACTGCTTGAATCCATCAAATTAAGTGATAGACCAGAGGCAGAGGGTACAGCAGGCCATGGTTTTCCAAGTAAGTTAAACTCCCCTTCCTGACATTTAGTTTGTCGCTTCACCAAACTAGCAGGAACTGGCATTTGATCCCCTGACTGAAAAGAAAGGCCATGGGACGAATTAATGTACATCCCAAAACCTGATGATAGAAGAGCTGTAAATGATGATTCTGGCCTCCCTAAAGACAAACGTTTATTTGAACTACAGCGGTGTGATGCGTAAAGATCATCAAGCTTCTCATCATTCACAGATGGTGGACATGGTGTTGGCTTCTCAGATGATTCTGACTGCTTACTTTCTGCAAAGGCACCTCTCAAGGTCGATAATTCTTGACCTTGCAAGACCCTTGAAAACCCACTGGCAGAAGAGGGGTCTACAGATAGTTTGGATGAACCTACAGCAAACCAAAAAGCATATGAGGCTCCAATAGCTTGAAACCAACAGAATGGAAATGGCAAAAATGAGAAATATAAATTAAAAGCACTAACAACCTTCTCTTGTAAGAACAGATGAATCAGGTGAAGATGGAAAAGCATTCGATCGAGGCCTTTTTGATCTTGGTACAGGAAGTGGATTAAGTGCAGATGGACAAAGAGAGGGCTCTATTTGCCAAGGTGAAACTCGGTCCGGCCTAGGAATGGTGGAAGTTTCATCCCACCGCACCTTAAAGTAGCCATACAGAATGACCATTTTAGAAGCAGAAATAAAAAGCAGCCAGTAACTCACCAGAAGACGCAAGATATTACCTTGAGGCATCTCCATTTCGATTCCGGCCACCTTTGGTGATCACAATCTTCAATTCCAACGATAGTTCCAGTAAACCTAAAAAAATTGTAAAGTTATCCCCCATAAAACACTCAGAAATGAATTAATGATACTCGTATTAAATTCTTATAGACACATTTGACCTCAGCAATGCTAAGTTGCTAACATCATACGTACTTCTGCTCCGGAGCTTCTTCTCCTTCAAACCTCATTTTGAACCTCATTCCTATGGAATAGTTATTTTTCACAGACTCCATATATTGGTCATGTGGAATAATAAATTCTGCGGGGCTTGTCCTGCACAAATAAAATCACCAGTAAGTGCACACATTGTTTCAATCTGAAAGGCAAGATGCTTCTCTTTTCAACTCCTTTTTTAAGTCATTTTCTGGACACAAGAAAAAGACTTTCAGTCCCTACCTAGGTTTGTAATACACCGTAAACATGGTATTAGTCTGAATGGCATGCCATGCTGTTGCCAGCACACCAAGATGCATACTGTGACTGGATATAACAGATGATGGAATGTTACTCTGATGCCTCATTGTGCGTCTAACCCCAACAAGAAGCTCCCCATTCTCACCTCTAGAAATCGAAAAGGATAAGAGTCATGAAAAAAATTCTAAAAATATCTTTAAAAATAAATAGTAAAAATATTAAAAATAACCAACCTTAAAAATATGAAGGCATCACCAGCAACAAGCCTTTTTGAACTAACAAAGACACTCCAACCACTTTGAAGGAGGTGCCTCCGTGGTTGGCCTGAATTAGGATAGCAGCATAAGTATCATTTCAAGAAAAAGCAGCCCAAAAAAACACCCTTCTAGTAGGTTTGGGGTTGACATGGACAAAAGTAGGATGGTGTGCTGATACTAGTATCTAAATCTTTTTAACCAATTTGATCAGAAATTATTGTCATATTGAACTAGCTGCAATTACAAATAGTTGCGTACTCATATAAAAGACTTTAAAGCATGTGGCAACCATAACTACAACAAATTCCACAAAGTAGGCACAAGACTATTTAGACCAAAGATGCAATCATACCCCGAAATATATGCCTGAAGCGCCACTCACTTCCATGCAGATCCCTGGCCACCAGCTCCTGGCTTGGAGGCTGCCGGGACATGTCCTGTCGTAAATCAAAGAGCACTTACCATCAAGCACTAGTTTCTAATAGACATCTGACAACAAACATAATACAAAACAGTAATCATACATATACAAAGATTGCGCAAGAAAGGAATCTTTCTAACCAATGGCGGGAGACACTCATCAGCATGCCGTCTCAACACTGAAAATCCTCCATGGGTGCTTGTATCTGAGGCTGTAAGCGTCTTACAAAAGGAATGTACTTGAACATGTGGTGGTGAAGGTAGCACGGTTTCCTTCTTAATTGCATTCTCATCTTGCTGCCATTGAATAACACCAATTACTATAAATAAATCTTTCCCATCATTCAAATTCACAAATTGAACCATCTCCCCTTCACAGGTATAAAACTTACATTCTCTTCCGGCATCAATGTTACTTGTGCATAAACCTCATCAGTATCTGCTTCAGCCTAACCATTCACATAGAGAAGAAAATTGCATATGATTTGACATAATAAAATCCAGTAAGGACTAGTGGGGGGTGTCAAAAGAAAAATCTCAAGAAACAAGCATTTTTCTAAAGCCAAATATAAAATTTTTTTTAAAAAAAAAAAAGAAGAAAAAAAAATTCTTAAGAGAAGACCAACAGATCAGTGTCTTACCTTCAACAGGACATTAACCACGCGGCAGAGGATCTTCCAAGGAAGCTTATAGATTGGCATCTGCTGCTCTGCCACTTGATTAGTTGATGCTTCAACCTACCAAACAAACACATCGAAGTTTCCGCACTCGTGAGTCGTGTCTACTTACTTAACCAGCGTCATTAATTTAACCCAAATTGGAAATTCCAAGTTCGAAGGAAACGAAACGGAGCCATAGAATTTACACATAATGCAAAAATATGTACGAGTAGAAGCAAAATCAGGAAGAACATTAAGAGAACTGGAATAATCTTTATCCCATCTTAGCTCGAAAAGATGCTTAACGAGTTGTGTAGAAACAAACCTGCTCGATATGACCTTGCGGGAAATAGAACACCAGCTCCTGCTCACGTGGCACTGTCACCAGCGGCCCGGCACAAGCCCGCCATAGCTCCGTGTACAACGCTCTCTCAACATCTAAAACAAAAACACAAAACACAAATTTAACTCAGCACCTAGCAATCTAGCATCACCACAAACAGTTATTAAAACACATAAAACGCAATATATGAAAAATTCTACTAGAGCAAAACAACAACAACAACAAAAGCTGCTAGGCTCGGCTCACCTTTACCGGCTCCGGAGACACTCCGACCACCGTCAGGAGGCGGCGCACACGAGCCACAACTCGACTCAGCGTAACCCCTGGCCGCCGTAACCTCTGAAGTAGCCATTTCCGAACCTTCGAGGAGTTTCTTCGCAAGATACGGATCTCACATCCCCGACGCGATTCTCCAAAAACAGATGTTCAGTCAGACACAACACCAAAATCACCTCAATCAACTGGAAATTCTCTAGATTCCAAAGCTTTCTCACTCTAGTTTCTCTCTCTACATCAGCTTCGCTCTGTGTGTGTGTGTGCAGAAGATGGGCTAGTAGCGTTATGACACAGAACAGAGACCTTTCAATAAGCAGAGAAGGGTCAATATAGACAATTGGTATGCTGCCACATTGCACACTCCCACAGTCCCACTCCGGACTCACATTATCATACTTTTTTTTAATATTTTTATCCCATAATACTAAAATATTAATCTTATCATCAAAATTATTATTCTACGGAGTAATATTTAACTTTTTTAGTCATTTGAGTAATTTAATGAAGCCCGTAGAGGTTTAACTTACTAATTTAGTATACAATATTTGGAAGAAGAGATCAATGTTTAAATTTAAAAAATTTAAGGGATAGCTCAAGTGGCAAATGAGCTCTTTTTGTAGGGGAGAATTCTGAGATAATTTGAGTTCGATTCTCACAGTGACGATCAGTCCCGTGCCTCCGTGAGTGAACGGGGTTTAGTCGGGTGTACATGGGCTAGTTCCGTGGCTCTTGGAGCGAACGGGATTTAGTCGGGTGATTCCCTTTGGACCAGCTCCCGTGCCTCCTAGAGCAAACGAGGTGGACCGTTAAACAGCACCTCATAATTTTACACCCAAAAAAAATGTTTAAATTTAGACAGCGGCAATATGAGGATTATGTCCAAAGTATGCACATTTTTAATACCTAAAATTATTCATTTTATCTGTCTTATTTACTATTCATTGGTCAAACCAACTCTTTTTTTCTATGTTTATTTTCTTTAGTACTTTTTACTTATTTTTAAATTTGATTTTTGTGTGTTTAATAGTACTTTTAGTGTAGTTTTTAAATATATAAATTTTATATACTAATACTAAACTTAATATTCTCAAAAATTAAATTAGAAACAACTTCGGTCAAGCCTCGTTAATCAAACCAGACACATAAAATAAGACGGAGGGAGTAACATTTAATGTATTATAAATGAACTTTTAATATAAAGTGAATATTAATATTATGTTACTGGTCTACGGTATAATAATTGTCAATTGGTATTGTATCTAAAATTCATATCTACTCACATTTACACTTATATTGAGTAATAATTGTTAATAGTAGCTCCCAATCCATCCCCATATGTTACCCAAAAGCATACAACCCATGTTGGTTAGATGGGAGTAGATATCATAGGACAAATAAAAATTTTCATACCTATATGTGTCACTATTCTAAGTCAAAAAGAAAAGAAGAGTATAAATTAAAATTTGTCTAAATATAACATATGGAAAATGAAAGTACTGTATAAGTAGTGCAAATTTGGAATAACATCAACCTCTTTTATTATTGTAGTTAAATTCTAATTCATTTAAAAATTTATTTCACTTTTTTAATGTATTAACCACAGAAATATTTTTCCTTTTGACTCTCAACTTTGATTTGTTTCGATTTTAATTTTCAACTTTAAAAATTATAAAAGTGAAATAAATCAAAATTGATGACTAACAAATGAAAATGTTACTATAATCAATGAATCAAAGGTGAAATAAATTTCATTATCTAATTAAGATTCTTGCAAAGAGTGATAGTATTAGAGCAATTGAAATGGTGAGAATAAAATTAGAAAGTTGAAACATTCTAATTACATTGCTCTCATATAATATTTATTTTTTAATTAATATTTATATGTCTACAATGATGTTTGTACTGAATAATGTGGGGTCATATTCCTCAAAGTATTTAGTACAAATGTAATGTCTTTGCCATTCATTTTAAAACTGTACCAGATGAAAGAAAAATTGATGTATATTAAGAATTTTTGACTTAAAAAAAAGGTTATATAAGGGAAAATGAAACTTTTTCCATCTAAATTATATATTTATAGTATTTTTTTTATTTAAATTATTCATGTATTCACATTAACCCCATCAATTATGTTAAAAGTGACAATTTTTTCCGCTTTATATTAAATGTACATTTTTATCTTTAAAAATAAGGGCAAAATAAATAATTCATTTATTTTTTTCTCCAGTAAATTATTACTTATATGTGAAAATCAGAATAAATGCAAAAAAAAAAAAACATTTACAAATATTATAATTATAATTTTAAGTTAATACTAATAATAAAATTAAAACTTAACACACAACTAATTTATTAAAGCATTAACGAATGCTTTTCAAAAAAAGTCTTAATTTTGTTACTAACATTAGTTTAAAATTATGATTATAATATTTTCAAATAGAATATGTTCATTTTCGCATTTATTATTAAGAGGGAATATACTCTAGTGTACTGACTCGTATGTTCTAAACGCCTGCTCGGATCCGATTACATTATTGGCAGATATCCATTTCCAACCTGGGAGGAGCACCTATCCGACTCTACCTGAGAGTTAAACAACTAATTGGCTTGATGAGCCATTGCTCTAAACCTTTTATGCTCGGCCCCAATCTAATTGATTGACTAGAGCTAGCCCCGAGCCCGCGGTATAAGCCTTAAAAGGGCATATTGATAATTGAGTCCGATGGCTATTGGCTAATCATATATACTTCTACACGTGTGTATTTTCCATAGGTCTCCGAGAGCTTCGAGTGCGTGAAGAACACGTGTCGCACATGTCGACCATTTAGCGTGTATCTCCTTCAATCCCCTATAAATACCCTTGTTAGATACTTGTGAAGGGGGACTTTTTGGCTCTCTCTCTCTAAAAAGTATTTATGAGATCGGGAACCTCCGACCTTCGGTCACAATAACCCAACCCGCCCATTACAACTACATTACTCAATAATATAAGAATACATATACCCGATGATATTTACCACATCAATTATGATTCTCACATATAAATAATAATTTGTTAGAGAATAAAAATAAATAAAATATTTATTATAAAAATAAAAATATACATTTAACAGGAAAAAAATAATCATTTTTAAAATAATTGAAGAGATCAATATAGATACATAAATAATTCAGCAAAAAAAAAAAAAAGGTATATGAAAGCGTTACGTTTTAATCAAGAATAGCCGGTGGCGGGGGCTATGTTTGGGGACAAGTGGATATAACGAGTAATAAATTTGAAGATTGACTGCGTCGTGCTGTCGGATTCTCATTCGCTAACTTTAATAACTGACGGCGTTAGCCTTTAACGTTAATTAAAGCTGTTCGGTTTTCACTGGAAACAAAGAAGTGGTCCTGTCGTGATGTTTACCGGCACAGGTAGGATTACGTATGCACACCTCACTCGCGGTAGCAGTGCCGTAAGCAACTTGCTCACATATCATGTATAATTAAATGTTTATTGTGCATAAAATGAAACATGTTTGAATTATACATAAAGTATAAACACAACATATAATTAACACATTTATGAGTTAAAGTACAAATTTATTAGGTATAGTTTCTGATTATGATGACAAATATTATAACTAATTACATTTAATTTGCTCTTAAAACACTTGCATCTTGTTTGATTCGTGAGAAATATTTGAAGATGAATGGAATTGAAATTCCATTGAAAAGAAATTACCAGAAAGATTGATTCCAAGTAAAAATAAAATTATTGTGAATATAAAGAGTTAGTAGTTGTAATAAATAATGAATATAAAGATCAATATACGCCTATACAACAACAATAACAATAACAATAACAATAACAATAACAATAACAACAATAATAATAATAATAATAATAATAATAATAATAATAATAATAATAATAATAATAATAATGGGCAGCTCAACTGGTCATAGAGGTGAAACTTTGGAAGAATGACTAGGGATTGAATCCCTCTCAAAGTGAGGGGGTTTCTTGTGCACAGTGAGTATAGGTCTAGTCTCTGTGATTTACATTTTCCCAAATGCTCTGTCGGGTCAAAGAATATTTTTTTGAAAAACAAAATATCAATGTTTGAGAGAGAATTTTTTTTTATCAAATTTGAAGATTTATATTTCTTTTGAAAAATGAATTTCATGAATCAAACAAGAGAAAATAGCATTTTCTTCCAAATTTATGAAATCGACTTCTTTGCGAAATATTTTCCATCCAATCAAATATGCTTTTAATATACTTTTATATTTTTTTGTGGCACAAGTGTCAAATAGACCCATCTACTATTGCGAAGTGCTTAATTTCCACCACGAACTAAATTAAGTGTCAAATAGGTATATCTACCGGCTAAATCTGTTCGATTGATATTTTTTACAGGTTGCTAGCAGGTTACCTATCTAATTATTAAAAAAAAATAGAATAAAAAAATTAAAAAAAAAATTAAAAAAAATTAAAAAAAATTAAAAAAAATTCAGCCACCGGCTGTCCGGCGAGGACAGCCAGTGGCTGATATTCTTTTTTTTTTTTTTAATTTAATTTTTTATTCTATTTATTTATTTATTTTTAATAATTAAATAGGTAACCTGCTAGTAACCTGTAAAAAATGTCAATTGAACAAATTTAGCTGGTAGATGGACCTATTTGACACTTAATTTAGTTCGTGGTGGGAATTGAGCACTTCGCAATAGTAGATGAGTCTATTTGACACTTGTGCCTTTTTTTATTGATTAATTTATGTTGATAAAAATAATGGATCAATGTAACTTGCATGTTTCATGGTGTCATAGAAGTAATTAATAATTTTCATAATTTAATTAGCAATTACCAAAACATTTATGAAATGCAAAGAGTCAGAATTTACCAACTTTTTGATAAACTCCCCCCAACGCACCATTACTCCATGTCAACATTTTCAAACCAAAATTAATTTGAGTGCATTGCTATTAAATACTTCGCAGGTACCTACATACTATTGACCATGTACTACTAATAAATTAAATCCAATAAACATTACAAGTGGTGATTAACATCACTGTTATGGTGTGTTTTGTACGCAAGAGTAATAAATTGTATTGAATATTATTAACACGGATGGTAATAGTATTATGCACAACTCGTTATGCATATATACGTTATTATATCATATACAATATGGTGTTGGTATTGTATTGTTTAACATAGTAAATGACAAATATATTAGACTTAGTCAATTCAAGGTATTTAAACTCAAGAGGTCTGGTGTGGAAGCAAGTTGAAGATGTAGACCAAGAGCCAACC